TCAACTATTTTCAGTTTCAGTTTTCTAGACAACAGCTTAGAAGAACCCATGGTGCTGATTGTTGGGGCAAGGTCAGATGAGTCTGGGCATTTAAAACCTTTGAGATTGACATAACCTGGTCTTCCCAGACGATGATTGAGAACAATCCATGACACTGGCAGGTCTCAGCTTTGCAAAGGGGGCAGTGCATGCTATAAATTCTGCAGGGTGCCCAAACTTTTGCAGACGCCATTTTTTTGTTTTCTGTTATTTTGAAAGTGTAAATGATGGAAATAAAATCTAACTTTTGTTGACATATTATAAGAATGTCTAATCTGTAATTTGATGCCTTTTGGAGATTTTTCCATCTTTCCTTGGCTTCTTTATGCACATTAATACAAATTTTTAGCTGGGGTGCCCAAACTTTCGATCCTCACTGTACATTTTTACATATATTTGTAAATGCATTCCAGAAATGTAGATTTGTATTTTTAAAGACATATAAATATATTTATTGAAATATATTTTGAAATATTTTGAATATGGCCAAAATTGTGGTATTTCAAATATATGGCAATATATTTGGGAAGAATATTTTTAAAATATATTTTTCTTCCATGTGGGTATTACTGTATATATTGTAGTCCATCTTTTAAGTGGGACCACAGGGAAGACTTTATCACTGCTTTTCTGCTCCTTCATTGTCCATCCCAAGCTAGAGCCTACATCCACTGTGTACTTTAGGTAACTGCTTGGAGTTGATCCTGAGATGTCATTACAGAACTTCCTTGGCTAGAAATGAGTTAACGGCCTTTGGTAGTTCTGTACGCTGTAAAATGATATTTGCACAGCAGAATCCAACCACATAAAGGCTTCTAAAGGCAAATTACTACTGCTATTTTAGGGATCAGGATGGAAGATTTATGAAGACAAATCACATTGTGCATATCTTGGAAATTAGCTGGATTTCCATATGAAATAAAATTCCTTGCTGAATCAAAGAGTAGAATGTAAGGTCTGATTTATTAAATGCAATGCATATATTCTGGTGTTTATACATATGCAACTCATACACAATGATCGGCTTAAAGGGGATCTATTGTCACCAGCAGCATATTTACTGCAAGGCAAACAAGGCGGCAATTTTCAAGGGGGGGGACAATGTCCCCTGGAAGAAGTGGCTGGGACGGGGACCTGATGAGAGGCTGCGTACTGGTGGAGGGTACAGGGAGGACCGTCTGCTTTTTGTGTAGGTTAGCTCTTTTATTCGAGTGATTGGGTGTTGGTGTCGGTGGCAGAGGGTGGTGGCGACGTTGGGGGGGGGGTGGCAGGTCATCAGGGGTTGGCAGTGGGGGGGCAATGCTGGCGGAGGGTGGTGTTGAAGTTGGGGGGGTGGATGGCGGTCATCGGGGGTTGGCAGTGGGGTGGGGGGGGGCAATGCTGGCGGGCGGAGGGTGATGGGGACAAGGAGAGAGGGGGGCGGGTGCTGGGGCACTGGTGTTGGTGGGGCGCCGGATTTTTGTGTTGTCTAGGGCAGCACATGAAATGAATACACCTCTGATAGTCACAGAATACGCTTTATGTCATCATCATTGTAATAACAATATAAACAATAGTTATCTTTGACAATCCAATATAAACTTACTTGAAAGATCTCCTTTCTTGTTGTGAGTTCTTCTTGTCTGCTGGCCATCTCTTTCAACAACTTCCAGGATTCCCTGCATGCTTTGCAGCTTCACCTCTGCTGTTTATTTTCCATTTCCAAAAAACTACATATCCCATAGTACCTTGCTGCCTGCAAGCAGTGATTCCTATATTGACCCCGCCTCCTGAAACTCCTCCCCTCACCACCTCTGCGGTTCAGAGGGCAGACTCTGTGAAATGTGTGACGCAGCAGCACCTACTGCAGAGGTGCTCAAACTTTTGAAGAGCGAGGGCCACTTAAGTAATTTGGAAACCAGTCGCAGGCCACAATGAAATGAAATGGTACAAAATTTTGAATTTTTTATTTTGAATAGCATAATGAACATTTTCCTTTGGTGGGAGGAAGAGGAGGAGAAATCTGATTTTAGCAGTTGCAGGAGAAAAATGGGGAGGATCGATTCCTGTATATGCCGCCCCTCCTGTCCAAGTGTAAAACAGAATGTGACAGGGAGGCTGCACGGGCTCCCTGGAGCATGGGGTGGGATTGCCATTGTGAACCCCCTCCCTCGGATGCTACACCAGTGGTGGGGGCATGTGGTAAAAACAAGCCTCATCTATGGGATTTTACCGCCCCCAAACTGCAAATGTAAATGAACCTTTACTGTCCTGAGCCCCCTATAAGGCTGTTTTCACACTGATGCACTGATGGTTTACAAGCACCTAGGATGCAGCGCAGTGCAACTATTAAGTGCATTGAGAAAATGCAGAGCATTCCTTGAATGACGCATGTGACGAATGGGTGACCTCCTGTGATCACAATGCAGAAAGACAGCCATTTAACCACTTGCCGACCTCCCATGTGTATTTTACTGTAGGCAAGCAGCTCGTACAGGCACAATCATGTACTTGTGTGTCAACAGTGTCTTCCGGGTCCCCCTTCCTGTCCATCTACTGCTGTGATTGGACACAGCAGGATTTTGTCAACAGGTTTCAGCTAATAACATGCACAAATCTGGAATATTGCTGCATTCCTTGATATCTTCACTTACTCAAACCTCAGATGAAGTTTCAGGGAGCGCAGCAATATTCCAGATTTGTGCACGTTACTGAATCTCACAGACAAGCTGTGCAGCACCCTGGGTTCCAGTTCCCAACATGTGAGAATCGGTCACTCACCTGAAGCGGCATCATTTTGGCTTTACTGATCCAGGTTTCAGCCAATGATTCATGGCTGAGACCTGCTGATTGGCTGTGTCCAATCACAGCCCAGAGCCCTGTGTTGACAAACACGGGGCTCTGTACAGAGGGAACTATTCTGTGTTTTTCGGAACAAACAAATATTAGTAAAAAGCAGCACATAGTACGCTCATGACACATTGTTAGGGACACAGTTAACCCTTTGATTGCCCCTAGATGTTATCACCTTCCCAGCCAGTGTCACTACTAAAGTGACAGTGTATAGTATTATCACTGATCACTGTATTAGTGTCACTGGTGATGTCATTGTCAGTCAGTTAGTGTACTTCCCAGCCAGCATCAGTTAGTGTCAGATTGCACGCCACAATACCACAAAAAGTCGCTGAACACCGCCATTACTAGTATTATTACACAGTATTTATACAGTATTTATTATACAGTATTTAGTACAAAAAATAAATAAAAATTCCAGTTTATACACCATAGTTTGTAGATGCTATAACTTTCACACAAACCAATCAATATACACTTATTGGGATTTATTTTTCCATGTAGCAGAATACATTTTGGCCTTTATTTATGAAGATATTCTATTTTTTACTGGATATTTTTTATAACAGAAAGAAAAAAAAAATATGAATATATATATATATATATATATTTAAATTTTCAGTCTTTTTTCTTTTATATAATTAAAAAAAAACCATTGGTGATCAGATACCACCAAAAGAAAGCTCTATTTATGTGAAAAAAATGATTTGGGCATTTGGGTAGAGCGTTGCATGACCAAGCAATTACCAGTTAAAGTAACACAGTGCTAAATAGCAAAAAATGGTCCGGTCATGAAGGGGGTAAAACCTTCCAAAGCTCAAGTGGTTAACATGGACCCCGAAGCTAATGGAGATCACTTGAGTAGCAGTGACTGCTGCTATACTTGCACCTCCCACCCAACACTCATGAAGGAATGCTGGGCATGCATGCTGGTGTTTGCAGGCTGAGCTGGTTCTGTTTTGCAACCAAATGTATAGACTTGGGAGCTGAAAATCACTGAGAAGGAACCAGGCACAGGAACAGCATGGTACCAGTTTAGGAGGTCAAGACAGAGTCCAGGAAACAAGTGGGGGGTCAATAACAGCCGGGCAAACAGAATACAAGGCAGAAGGCAGTTGGTCAGGTCTCTGGTAAACAAGGACAAGCTGAAGATCACTCAGCAACTTCCTTCTGAAGTGCTTCAGTTTATATATAGGACACTGGCAGGGGCGGACTGATCATTTGGAAACTCGGGCACTGCCTGAGGGCCCGGGGTCAGTAGGGGGCCCCATGAGATGCCCCTGGTACCTTTTTCATAGGCTTTTTTGAGTTTGGGCAAGGACACAGGGGCCCCATGATCCCCTATTGCCCGGGGGCCCCGTGAGTTGTCAGTCCGCCCCTGGTCACTGGGTACCCATAGCAGGGCTGAATGTGCATGCCAATACTCGTTACTGCACATCTGGCATTTGCCTTATACACAGAGGTATAGGTATACACTTGCACTGGTTTCCTTCTACTGATGATAATCTGACCTTCCTTACGATTGCTTAGAGGACCATTCTTGAAGATTATGTTGTCCTCATAGATATTTTCTTTCTTTTCACTATTTGACAGTAGTTGTTGAGTAGCAAATACGATAGTCAATCATGCCTTGGTACTTGAAAGTGCACTGAAAACAAGGCAGGTTGGTAATCAGTCATGCAAAAATATGGCAGATATCCTTTATTAATAAGACAAGTGATGAAGAACGAGTGAATGGGGTCTTTCTTGTGGCACTTTCCCATATAAATATATCTATTCAGACTCTTGTGGTATTCAAACAATGCTCTCTTTATATCATTCTTTCCATATATAATTACTTGACGCACTACAGAAACCTCTTTTCATGTGTAAGTGCGTGCCATGGAAAAGGGAGGCTCAACAAGATGGAAAAGAGTATTAACTCAAATGTTGGCCAAATGCCAATTTATTAAGTATTCTTTAAGTATGAAAGCCACTGAAACAAGAATTCCCATTGGACACTTTCCCCTCTATTGCTATTCTGGTGGCAACTTGAAATTTTAAATGTATTATTATTTATATTACAAGTACTTATATAGTGCAGTCAATTTTTTACAGCGCTTTACATATATATTGTACATTCACATCAGTCCCTAACAGGGGCGGACTGACAACTCATGGGGCCCCCGGGCAATAGGGTATCATGGGGCCCCTGTGTCCTTGCCCAAACTCAAAAAAGCCTGTGAAAAAGGTACCAGGGGCATCTCATGAGGCCCCCTACTGACCCCGGGCCCTCGGGCAGTGCGCGAGTTCCCAAATGGTCAGTCCGCCCCTGATCCCTAATCCTCAAGGGTGTACAATCTAAGGTCCGTAACTCACATTCATACATACGCATACTAGGGCCAATTTAGACAGGAACCAATTAACCTGCTAGCATGTCTTTGGAGTGTGGGAGAAAACCAGAGTACCTGGAGGAGACCCACACAGGCACAGGGAGAACATGCAAACTCCAGGCAGATAGTGCCGTGTTTGGGATTCAAACCAATGCCTCTACTACTGCCAGATGGAAGTGCTAACCATTTAGCTACTGTGCTGCCCAAATTCATAATTATGATATAGTCTTCCCTCATTTTTTCTCATAGAAGTGACAGAAGCTATTGAATGAAATGAAACATTACCCTTGGACAGAAGTCTCCACACTTTCAGAACAAAGGATCAGTTTACTTCCTTTAGACTTTGGGGGGCCTGACAGAGGCCAATGAGAATATAAAATGTCCCGACATCAATGGAAGTAAACAATACCTCAAGCTTGGTGATCAATGGAAATAGTTACATAGTGCCTGTGGTCAACTGGAGGAGAAATAGTGGCCCATCATTTGCATTAGTTGAAAGCATCATGCTGCATAGTTGGTATTAGTTGGATGAATCGTGCCATCATTTGTATTGGTTGGAGGAATAGTGCCTCACCATTGCTATTAGTTGGAGGTATCATGCCCCATCATTGGTATTAGTTGGAGGTATGCCCCATCATTGGTATTAGTTGAAGGAATCATGCCCCATCATTGGTATTAGTTGGAGGAATATTGCCCCATCATTGATATTAGATAGAGGAATAATGCCCCATCATTCGTATTAGTTAAAGAATTGTGCCCCATCATTGGTATTAGTTGAAGGTATCATGCCGCATCATTGGTATAAGTTGGAGGAATCGTGCCATCATTTGTATAAGTTGGAGGAATAGTGCCCCATCATTGATATTAGTTGCAGGTATCATGTCACATCATTGGTATTAGATGGAGGAATAATGCCCCATCATTGGTATTAGTTGAAGGAAACGTGCCCCATCATTGGTATTAGTTGGAGGTATCATGCCCCATCATTGGTATTAGTTGGAGGTATCATGCCCATCATTGGTATTAGTTGGAGGAATAATGCTCCATCATTGGTATTAGAGAATAATGCCCCATCATTGGTATTAGATAGAGGAATAATGCCCCATCATTCGTATTAGATAGAGGAATAATGCCCCATCATTCGTATTAGTTAAAGAATTGTGCCCCATCATTGGTATTAGTTGAAGGTATCATGCCGCATCATTGGTATTAGTTGGAGGAATAGTGCTCCATCATCAGTATTAGTTGGAAGAATAGTGCCCCATCATAGATATTAGTTAGAGGAATAGTGTCCCATCATTGGTATTAGTTAGAGGAATAGTGCCCCATCATTGGTATCAGTTGGAGGAATAGTGTCCCATCATTGGTATTAGTTGGGAGGAATAGTGCCCATCATTGGTATCAGTTGGAGGAATAGTGTTCCCATCATTGGTATTAGTTGGGAGGAATAGTTCCCATCATTGGTATTAGTTGGAGGAATAGGGATAGTGAAGGGATCTCCATCATTACTATTAGTTGGAGGAATAGTGATCCACTGTTGGTGTCAGTGGCAGGATTTATTCCCCACTGTTGGTGTCAGTGGGAGGAATAGTTTCTCATATCAGTGGAGAACTAGTGCCCCAAGGGCTGGATAAAGGTAAGCAAAGGGCCACATCCAGCCTGTGGAATGCTGTTTGGAGACCACCGCTCTAGGGGGACATTGCTGAATACAGACTTGTAAAAATACAGTAAATTCAGACAGTAGATGATTGTTAGTTTAAAGCCTAACTTCAGGTTTCATATTGCTTAACCCTAGGAGCACATATATGCAGGTGTGGCAGTGCGTGTAAATCACATGCATTCCCATACCTGCATACAGCAGCACAAAAAAATAGAATGCTGCATAGAAAATACATAGGGGTACCATTAATTCTTCATCTTACCTCCATACACTGAAAAACATGGTGCAGTTACTAGCAGTTTTCCGTGTGGCAGCGTATTTAAAAAAGGTGCAGGAACCTTTTTCCTGTGGAAAACACAGACACTGCACCCCATTCAAATGAATGGGCTGCCATGCCTGTGCAGTTGTGGCACGCATGGCCACAATATGTGAACCAAGCTTATATCATTTGTTTGGGCCAAGCTATTAAAAATCAATTGGTCCAGTATACAACAGATAGCTATGTATGGACTCCAGCGTTTACTTTTTTGAGAACCAAGTGAATGGAGCTGACAAGAGCCCAGCTGATAGTCCAGAGCCTGCTGCATGATGATAACTAGATATGTGAATGATCAAAAGTTTTGTTTCGTTTTTGGAGAATTTTGTTTTGTCATATGCGTTATGTTGATCTGATTCCTTTTTGGGATTTGTTTCACATCTTCGGCATTCGTTTCTTATATTTGATTGTCCGGGTAGATTTGAAAAAATTTAGCAATTTTTCTGGAAGATTGCTATATATTCGATATATTATTGAATGGGACAGATTCAAATCAGAAGGATTTAATATTTTCAGATGCTAGTTCATCCCACCAAGAGAAATGGCATGAGCTGATTGGCGTTATGTGCATCCGAAATATAAAATGGAACAAAATTTGGATCCATTCACCTTAAACCAAATCCGAATTATCGAAGAAATTTCAAAATTTAATTAATTTCCCTATGGGTCCGAAACTACTATCGCATAATGTGACATCATCCAAGTGAAACTAATGCATTTATTAAATTCATTATAACTTTTTTTTTTCTGATTTATTGACATTCGTTAATATGTCCATTCTGAGATTCGCATACACCTAAATCTCCAAAAATTAAATTTTCATCTGAAAAACGAATGGAAACGTAATGCAAATGTCTAATTTATTATTATTATTATTATTATACAGTATTTATAAAGCGCCAATGGTTCGCTCAGCGCTGTACATTACAAAGGGGGACAGAACATGTGACAGAACAATACCAATACAATGCAAAACATGAGGGGATTGAGGGCCCTGCTCTTTGGAGCTTACAATCTAGGAGGGAGGGGATGGTGGTACAGGAGGAGATAGCTGTGGGGGATGGAGTGGTAGGAAGAGTGGAGGAGGTCGGCAAGTTAGCAGGGGGTGGGGTAGGCTTCCCTGAAGAGATGGGTTTTCAGGGTGCGCCTAAAGGAGAGGAGAGTAGGTGATAATCTGATGGGTTGGGGCAGGGAGTTCCAGAGGATGGGTGACACCCTGGAGAAGTCCTGGAGGCGGGCATGGGAGGAGGAGACCAGGGAACTAGAGAGGAGGAGGTCTTGTGAGGAACGGAGTGTGCGTGTTGGGTGGTACTTGGATATTAGGTCAGTGATGTAGTTTGGGGCAGTATGGTGGACAGCTTTGTACAGGATTTTGAATTTGATCCGTTGCGCAATCGGAAGCCAGTGGAGGGATTGGCAGAGGGGGGTGGCGGAGACGGAGCGGTTGGAAAGGTGGATGAGTCTGGCAGCCGTATTCAGGATCGGCTGAAGCGGGGAGAGCCAGCGGCGAGGCAGGCCAGTGAGGAGGGAGTTGCAGTAGTTGAGTCGTGATATGATGAGGGAGTGGATGAGCTGTTTAGTGGTTTCTGGGGTTAGGAACGTGCGGATTTTGGCGATGTTGCGGAGGTGGAGTCTGCACGAGTTTGTTAAAGATTGGACTTGGGGCTGGAAGGATAGGTTGGAGTCCAGAATGACACCAAGTACTCTGGCCTGCGGGGCGGGTTTGATGGTGGCGTTGTTGGATGTGATGGATGTGATGATAACAGTAATTTGGTGAGATATCCGGAGTTTAGGCTGCTTTCACCTGTTCATTGAAATAATGCACCTAAAACACATGCATTTTTGATGCGTATCTGGTGCGTATTCTGGTTGCCTGACTCCCAGCATGCACCTGTGAAACATGGACAAGTGACTCAAAAAATGCACCAAAAACCCAATCGCAGTTTTTTCTTTTAATGCATTTTCCATTCGTTTCAATGGGGAGCTGTGCTTATAGTGCAGTTTTAGAATGCGCACCAAAGATGCAGCACGCAGGACTTCAAAACGTACCCGCCGCGGTGTAAGAATTCCCATAGGATTTTATGGGAATCATTTTTATTGTGTTTTAACTAAGGTAAAATTGCAGCAAAATGCATCTGTGAAAGCAGCCTTATGCCCCGTACACACGATTAGAACATTGTACAAAAAATGTTGCGGAACCACAGATCGAACTATTTTCTCTTCATTGATGAGCAGGATGTTTTAACCGATAACGATATTGTGAACTAAAAAATCCGGTTGAACAACAGTGAAAAATGTTGTCGTTTCGCATATGAACGACCTATTTTCTATGCGGTGGTATGACGGTCGTATGAAAAAAATCTATCAAGCGCTATCACGCATGAGCAGAAACAGAAGATGACCCGGATGTTTATGTCCAAGGAATCTTCGTAAACACAAACGAAAAATCCAAATGTTAAAAGTAGATTGGTCTAACGAGATGATGATGAACCAGAATTCTGCAGATTATATTTTATGTATCACTATTTATGTATATAGGTCATGTAATAAACTATATTATACTCATTGCCGGTAATTGTGTATATCGCTCGTTCTGGCCGGAAGGGCGTGGCTACAAGGTCACACACACACACTGCATCACTTCCAATTGTACGGAAGACGTCAAAACTATGTATTGCCCGACAAACGATTTTTTTACATTGGCTAACGTGGGCCACGATTGTGACCAACGAACGAATGCCTCTCGGTTGTCGGATGACGATTTTCTAATCGTGTATTCCCACCTTTAGTGTCTCTTTAAGTGTTTCGTCAGATTTTAGAGTGTAGTCTTGCTAGTCAGGGTTTTTTTTGGAATGAGATTCATAAAGGAAACATTTCTCAAATGTCTTACAAGCATCTAAGGTGCATTTGCAGCAAACTCTAACTGACCTGAATTTAATAGCTCAAAGCAAATGTTTCCTTGACACTCCTG